TCGGGAGTCATTGGTGTATCTGCTAGTGGTAGAGCATAATGAGTCTAGCAAGCGAATGTACGGGGAAATGCATACGAGAGATTGGTGGTGGGAGATACATGTCTGTACAAAGCCTTGCACTGGCCAGTTCTATAGGGACAGTCGCTAATACTTTCTGGACAGAATACTTTACCGGAGGAGTTGACTGTGGTACCAATTATATGGGCGTCGGATGGCACATATTTAACAAATTTCAGTGGAGACAAGAAAGCCTAGCCAATCTATCTTACCATCGAGAACATCAAGTCATCAGTGCGGAACAAGCCCACTGGCCATTTGTTTATTCTCCTAGGGCTGCTGCCAGTTCCACCTAAGCTCGGGAAGAATTCACTCGCTAATTCCGCTTTACGACGTCAGAGTCAAATGACGCTGCATCGCACCTTAGGGGAGATCTTTCAAAGCATTCGGGAGTGCTCTTAGGAAGGCGAACTAATCGCATACACCGACGGATACGAACGTCAATACTTTCCGGGATTGTCAGGTTGGATCGCTGATCAACCTGAGCATTCAAACTTACAAAATGTTGGTACTATCTCTTGTACAAGATGCGAGGTGGAATTTCACAGTCTTGGGAGCACTCGCCGGAGCCCTATATGCAATCACGAGGATTACCGGGAGAAGGTAAAGCAATTTGGAGAGAACCCAGGAAACCTTGGACCGGTGGAATACCCTGTTGCGAGATCCGTGAAAACACTCTTCAATGTTTTCTGAGGTATGTCAAGGGTTAATCGATACAATCTTAACAAACTGGACATTCTACACAATATCTATCTGGGTATGTTGAAGCATATGATGGAGTGGATGCAGGGTTTCTTGAAGAAGCATCATCGATTGGAGGAATTTGACAAGGCTTAAGCCTCGATTGCACCTTACCCTGTACTGGCCGTACCGAACAAGGCATATCGTGCTACAACCCAATGGCAAGGGAAGGAGATGCGAAATCTGAGGCGGGTTGTTCTTGGAGTACTCACGGCTGCTCTGAGAAACCCAGGGGTGGCTGTTAGGGGTGATTTTGCAAAAGTATTGAAATGTGTACGAAGCTTAATAGACTTCCACTTAATGACGCAGTATGGGAGTAATATGACGAGCACATTGAATTATATGGAGAGCTATCTGGAGGATTTCCATGAATACAAAGATATCTTTTTAGAATTGCGGGCATGTGAGAAGACGTTAAAGGATGCGAGAGATCGGACAAAAGCATTGAGCTTGAGCGGCGCAGACTTCCAGAGCACTCAACAATGCTTAGACAAGATCCGTGAGATCTGAGAAATGTCTCACTTCAACTTCATCAAATTGTACGTGTTAACGCACTATCGGGAACATGTCGAGTGCTTTGGGAGCATTTTTCAGTACTCCACCGACATCAGCGAGCTCGCCCATATGTATCAGGTAAAAAAAGCACACAGAGCATTGAACAAGTTCGATGCTGCAACGCACATACTGGACTATGGGGGGCGACGATTGGTGTTAGAGATTCAGATTCTGAATCTGAAAGATATCGTGGGGCTCCTGAGAGCACTGACGACATTCTTTGGAGCCATTGAAATAACCTAAAGAAGTTACTTGAGATTTTCAAAATCGAAGATCTTAGAAAAACGCCAAATGAACGACCGATAGGAGAAAGGCGACTGCCTCTAAAGGGTCTTTGCAACCCCTCCACGAAATCGGAAAGACTTTTCAATATTGCAGATACACTGCAAATAAGCCATACCACGTTGTACCGCCTGATAAAAGAGTATGCGGAGGATGCGGGATGCTCTCAAAGCTTCGCTGGGAGATCTGAGAGCATTTTAGAGCGCTGGGTAGAGATGTTCACATGTTTATAGGTTCCGATACCAATCTTTCAAAGACCTAGGGTATACGAGGTCCATAACATTAGGTGTACTGGACATCCATTTTTTAAGAAGGGGAAAATAAGAAAGGATTGGGCATGGGTGTTGGTAGCTTCCTCAGAGCAGTGGGGAGTACTTTGGAGACGCTTCTCAAGACGTGTGGAGGCTTTGTTCAAGGTGCGGGACAGTACGGGGTGAGCCCATAGGCTATGTATAGTAGAGCTGCTGGAAGCAAAGGATCGTGGTATGACTGATAGCTCCTATGGGCTGCTGAAGGTATGTAGGAGGAGGAGGAAGAGGATGTGGGTCGTGAATATTCGGAGTATATTGGGAATAGCCTATTTGTTTGAGGTGGAGGCTGGCAATTGGTTGGTAAATACTAAGATAGACTTGCATACGTGGAATGAATTTAGTTGAATGCTGTGAGAGCAGTTATGAGTGCTCCATAGTGAATACCGTTAGGGTATTCGTGAGTGCTCTAGGAAGGTTAGCCACAATTGGACTCTCTAATTCAAAATTCATATCATTCTGCTAAGCATGCGGATTGGAAGAAGGATATGAAGTTTCGGCCGCTCTGTATCTGAGTTTGACTATCCAGCAAGCCCGCTCCACGAGGGCGCGGTAGGCAGGCATTGGTCTTCCGACCAGTAAAGTCATCCTACACCTTTTCCCAGTCCATGTTTGCTACTTATGCATGGACATTGAGCTTTTCAGATGAGCCGTACCATGGCCTCAACCTCAAGGCTTATGCCTTTCACGAATTGACAGATACATACACGTTTATCAAAGATTTAGTAGTCATCACCACTATACATGACAGTGCTCGTATCAGTATCCCGCGACTGACTGTACAGCGGCGTGAAGGATACCCACGTGAGATATTATTTGAGGGACTGATGGTACCTACCTAGGCGTTGACGAAAGTGTATCAATTCAAAGGGGTCTAAGTGAGGGTTGCCTCACCTTAGTTGGTATTACTAAGGATGCTTTGGTAGCTCTATGAGCATTGGTGAGTGCTCTGAAAGGATTTGCGGGAGCATTCATGGTACCACCAGACGTGAGTCAATTTATTTGGCGGAGCCTCGTAATAGGAGCATTGTCGAGCGCTCTCTGGACACAGGTGGTATCTCCTGGTCGAGCCTGGCGAAGAGCGCATTAGTGAATGCTCTCTGAATGTGAGGAATATCTCCTGCAAAGCAAGGTAAAGAAGGAATTGCCCAATGATCTCCGACGTGAATGAATTCATTTGGCAGAGGTGGGCAAAGAGAGTATTGGCGAGTACTTTCCGGATATAGGTGATATCCGCTCACGGAGCAGAGAGAGTATTGGCGAGTGCCCTCCGGAGGCGAGTAATATTCTTCGAAGGGGCTTATTGAAGGGAGCATTGGCGGGTGTTCTCTGGATGCAGGTGATATCCCCGATCGGTGCCTGACGGAGAGGGCATTAGCGAGTGCTCTCCAGGCATGAAAAGTAGAGCCTGATAGTGCCTGGTGAAGAGGGCATTGGCAAGTACTCTCGAGACCTGAATGGTATATCCTGGCAGCGCCTGATGAAAAGGGCATTAGCGAGTGCTCTCCATGCGTGAAGTGTATAGCCTGGCGGCACCTGGTGGAAAGGGCTTTGGCGAGTGCTCCCCTGACGTGAACAGTATCTCCTGATGCTGCCTGGCGAGGAAAGCATTGGCGAGTGCTCTCCTGATGTAAGCAATATCGTCTGGCGGAGCCTGGCGGAAGTGGTATCCTCTGGCAGCATCGGACACACCAGGTGCTCAAGGGGTAAGTTAGGCACCGAGATTTGCGCTCTGCACCCTGAGAAATAGCAGAGCTTGCTGATGATAGGGGTTGAGGGACATCAATGGAGTTCACCTGAGGAAGAGGACAGTAAAGCACGCTAGGGTGCAAGAGGTGACTTGCACAAGGCCAAGGAAGACAGCGAAGGTGACGGAGGTCTTTACAACCGAGGGGGAAACAGCAAGGGTGATGATAGCCACAAGAGGAGCAACGATGGTCGAGAGGACCAAGAGGACAGCGATCACAATAGAGCTATTCATTTAGGAACAGCAGACGTAAGGTAACTTTGGATAAAGTGTGTATTGAAGCGAGTAACTCCCCCAAAGTAATAACTCAAGGTATAATACAAAATGTTGCGTAGAGAAGAAAGAAAAGATAGACAAAGAAGAGTAAGAGACGTTTATATAACAATGAAACGACAACCGATAACAACCAATAATAACCGATGACTAATACCACGGAAACTCCTGGGACTCATGATGACCCACTCCTTTTCGCATAATGGGTCCATTTCGTAGTCTTAGGACTAAGCCGACATAAGGTTCATAATACAGGGATGAATTTGCAGAGGTATTGAAATATGTACGAGGCTTAATCAACTTCCACCTAATGGCGCAGTATGGGACTTACACAATCAGCACATTGAATTATATGGAGAGCTATCTCAATGGTTGCCATTAGTAAAAGAATATCTTTTTATGGTTCCAGGCGTACAAGAGAGCTGTTAAGGGTACGACAAATCAGAGAAAAGCCTTAAATGGCTCAGGCTCGTAGAGTATTAAGCGAGGCTTAGTGGAAATTCACGAGATACGAGAAAGGTCCCACTTCAACTACATCAAATTGCATATATTATCACACTATCGGGAACATGTCGAGCGCTTTGAGAGTATTCCCCAGTACTCCACCAACATCAGCGGACTCGCCTATGTACATCAGATAAATCTCAAGGGGGCGAGTATCGAGTATTCTGCAGGGTACGAAGGGTGTAGTAGAGGTCGATGTGGGAACTCGCAATAGGGGTCCTGAGGGACTCTAGCATCGGTAAGGGTCTAAGGAACAAGGGGACAGCGAAGCGGTTGTCTTCTCGAGTAAAGAAGAGGAAAATAATATTGTATGGTAATAGACAGCGTAGATACAGAAGACGTTGCTTAAAGAAAGAAAGAAAGAGAAAAGAACAAGAAGTAAGAACGAACCCCCCTAATATACCCAAGGAAATCCCAGCGATGGCAAATCCAAGTGACTCATATATCAACAATTCACAGAACCCGGTAAAACCCAACAGAACTCTTCTGACTAATCCAACTCCTCATAACCCAGTATATTCACTAATCGATCTATGAAAATAAAAGAGGCATACGGAGCATCGAACAAGATCAATGCTGCAACGCAGATACTGGACTATGAGGGGAGGCGGTTGGTGTTAGAGATTCGGATGCTGAATCTGAAAGACATTGTTGGGGGTCCTGAGAGTACTGACAACATCTTTTGGAGCCATCGATATAATCTGAAGGAGTTACTTCAGATTTTTAAAACCGAAGACCAGAGAAAACTCCAAATGAACGATCAACAGTAGAAGGAGGGTTGCCACTAGGGCATCTTTGCAACCCCTCCACGAAATCGTAAGAACTTTTCAATATTGCAGATTAACTGCAAATAATCTATACCACATTATAGCACCTAATAAAGGAGTATGCAGAGAATGCAGGATGTTCTCAAAGCTTTGCCGGAAGCTCTGAGAGCATTTCAGAGCACCGGATGAAGATGTTTACATATTTGCAGGTTCCGATACCAATCTTCCAAAAACCTGAGGTGTACGAGTTTTACAATATTAGGTGTACAGGAAACGTAGCTTTTAGGAAACAGAAATTAAGGTAGGAATGGGTATGGGTGTGGGTAGCATTCCCAGAGGAGTCGCGAGTGGTTTTAGGACACTTATAAGGATGTATGAATGCTTTGTTCAAGCTACGGGACAGTGTGGGGCGAGTTCGTAGACTACGTATAGTGGAGCTACTCAACACAAAGGATTGTGGTATTGCTGATAGCTCAAATAGGCTCCTGAAGGTTTGTAGGAGGAGAAGGAATAGGATATTAGTCATTAATATTAGGAGTCTATTGGGAATACCCCATTTGTTTAACGTGAAGACTGGTAATTAGTTGATAAATACCAGGATAGAATTGCGTATATGGAATGAATTTGGGTGAATGCTTGCAAAGCCTTGAGGGCATTCATGAGTGCTCTAGGAATGTTAGAACCAATTGGACTCTCTAATTCAAAGTTCATTTAGTTCTGCTATGCATTCTAATTGGAAGAAGGAGGTAAAGTTTCGGCCACTCAGTATCTGAGTCTGGCTATCCAGCAAGCATGATGTGGAAGGGCAATGTCAGTCTATGTCTGCTGCTTATGCATAGACATTGAGTTTTTCAGACAAGCCGTACCACGGTCTCGGCCTCAACGCTAATTATGCATTTCACGAATCACCAGAAACATACACCTCTATCAAAGATTGGCTAGTCATCAACAGTATATAGGACAGTGCTCATATCAGTATCCTGCGACTGACCATACAGTAGCGTTGAAGATACCTACGTTAGATAACATTTGAGGGACTGGTATCTTCCTATCCTTTGAAAACCATATATCAATCCAAATGGGACGGGGTGAGGGTTCCTTCAACTTAACTGGATATAACAAATATCTCAGCTCTGGTGAGTACTCTGGACGCACTTGCAGAAGCACTCGAGGGAGGAATCGCGGGAGCATTCCTGGGAGCATTCGCGGGAGCATTCCCGGTAGGATTCGTGAGAGCATTCGCGGGAGTATTCGCGGGAGCATTCCCGTGAGCATTCAAGTGAGTATTCACGTGAGCATTCACGGGAGCCTTCGCGGGAGCATTCGCGCTGCTGTGAGAAAATTGGGTTTGCTATTAAAGCATTGGTCATGTGATGAGAGCATTGATCGTACCGTGAGACCATTCAAGACAACTTTGAGAACATTGAAAAGTACTTGTATGGCGCTACCGACGTAAAGAAAAGAAGCAAAAGTTCCAATGGTGCTGTAGGCAATGTCATTCCATCCTAGCATCTCCGGAGAGGGAGGTAATCTCATGGCGGTCCAAACAAATAGACTATTGGTGAGTGCTCTCTGAACGTGAGCTATATCCCCTGGTGATGCCAGAAGGTTAGGTGCTCCTGGGGCGGAACTAGCAATGAGCGGTGTATACTGGCAGTACCAGAAGCGGTAAGCACTCGGAGCGAGGAACGCTCATCAGGATGAAGGGGCTGCCCCCTGGGTAATAAGCGAGCTTGCTAATAAATGCTTTACATGGCGCAGATGAGGGTACCGCTCTGGAGATTGTGACTTGAAGTGTGGTTGCGAGGGAGATCATTTTGCTGGTAGGTATCTTTTGGCGATTTGGAGTTATGGCAGTTGACGCGGTAGGTGACGTGGGTGGTTAATGCAGGTGCATGGTCTCTAAGTGAGAGCGGAGGACACGTATTTTGGAGGGAGCATCACGGCTAGCCCGTGTACGTACCCGTTATATAACTGGGTATTGTGTCAGGTTCTGAGGATTTAATGGAATGAAAGAATAACCCAATAAACGTATTGCAGTTACATATAATATAAATATAGCAGCTATACCTGATGGTAAAAATCTTGCGATAAATTTGTCGGATCAAGTTGTTGATAATGATTTGTGGTAATTCGTAACCAAAACTAACTCTATGTCATAGATGAAGATATTACTAAATTATGTGCTTGAGTTTCAAATTAAGATAGTTACTAATTCTAGGCTACGAGCAGGACCAAAACTAATTAAATGGAAATACATAAGTAACTTCTCCAATAATCTCTCATCAATCTTTTCATAAATCTATATACCATCATAGATATACTCAATTTTTCAATTAATTTTGCAGACAAGCTTTTCTTGCCAGTTGGGATTTGCCAATAATTTCTTAAAAAAATTGAAGGTGCTTGAAGGTTTTAGGTACTTTTCATTCCGATAATTGCACACGCAAGAATATTTCTTAGTGTATTCTGTTTGATCGCTTTTTATATACTTTAAATAGTCTGAACTATAATCATCGGGATTTAATTGAAGGAATTCTTGAAGTATATATCAGACTTTGATAACTTGGTTGTGTGTTACATTGTCTTGGTACTTATTTCGTTTTTGATTTTCTGTAGCATTATGAAGGAAAGGATGTTTTGGGTCTTCCTTTAATATTAGTTTTCGGTTGGATGAGTAATCGAGTTTCTATAGATTTCTATTATACGAGATTCAGCTGTCATCCCATATGGGTATCGAAATAGTTATATAATAAGGTTATTGTCTTTCTTTTCTGTTCTTTCTTTCTTTATTCTTTAAGTGTTACTATTGTCATCTACCTTCATCTCAGCTCGAGTCCTCTGTTAGCTTTGTCTGTTACTTTAAATATATTCTCTACCGTAAACTTTAGTCCCATCGGTATCAAGTCCGATCCTACCGTCCTAGTCCTCATCCTTGTCCTGACGCTAAATCCATATTACCTGGTATACCATACCAAGGAAAAACCTACTCCAGTCCTCGTACCAGTTCCTGTCCTAGTTTTTGTCCTTGCCATCGTAACCTCTGACCTCGATTGTACTCCTTGGTTCCCTGACTCCGCTTCGATTGGGCAAGTTCTTACGTAGTCTGAGTTGTACCTCCGCTATCCTTCAAGTTCTCAAAGGGGTGAGTAGCTAGTATTCCGCAGGGTATGAAGGAAGTAGTAGAGGTCGGTGGGGGAGAGCCTGCGAGAGGGGTCCTGAGGGACTCTAGCGTTGCTAAGGGTCAATGGGACAAGGGAAGCAGCAGCACAGTAGTCTTCTTGAATAAAGAATGGGAGATGTTATTATATAGTAATAGAGAGCGTAGGTACAGAAGACATTGTGTATCAAAAGAAAGAAGAGAAAGAGAACAGAAGCAAGGACGAAATCTCCTAATATGCCCAAGGAAATCCCAGCGATAACAAATCCAAAGTAACTCATACCCTTGCAACCAAAGAACCCGATAGAACTCAATAGAATCTTTCTGACTAATCCAACTCTTCTTAACCCAGTGTGTAAATCAATCGATCCATGAAACAAGTCCGTTTACCTCCGTAAAAGCGTGTATAAGCTTTTGGAGTTGAAGAAGATGAATTGTTTCTCCATTATTTATCAAGGTATCGTGTTCTTTTTAATTCCACATTACCCTAGGCTGCTGGTTTCAACCTTGAAATCCCCATCGCATATACAAGAAGAAGTTGTATTTCAGCTACAGGTGATAACGAGGAGGAGGTAAGGAATTTCCAGTAGAGACTTTGAAAAATACGGTACTTAGGTCGATTTTCATCTTTATTTACCGAACTTCGCGGTACCATTAACCGGCATATATAAATAAGGGCATAATGACCGATTCCTTTTCCACTTTGCTCTTTTCCGCCAAAAAAATCAAATCAAACCACGATCTCTCCTCTGCCGAACATGGAGTTTGTGGTTTGCTATTCCACCCGAGTGTTGCTTGAGTAAATGGCCCTCCTCTCCGGGATTAAAAGATAGAATATCAAGTTCTCAATCATCTTGAAGTGTTGATATTGCGTACTGGCTGGGTAACTGAGACTCGAATTGATTATCTATAACGATATAATTGACAGTAATGATGAACAGTGTGCGCATTGAACAATCACATAGGTTGTGAAAAATCTTATTCGGGCAATGCGTGACCTCGCACAATTTTACTCGGGCCCGTCTCTGACCCCGAACAACCTACCCCCTAGTTTGCACTAAAGTATAAAAGAAAAACAAAAGTCTGACAGTTCTACGATCTACTTTGACATTGGGTAACTGACAACCTTTTTTCAAATCAAAATATGAAGCGTAGGTCTACTCAAAGACTTCAGGATAAATCTCGGTAGACGGGGGCGGTGTATATTTATACTACGAGACTCATGCGGGGTGAATCTTGTGAACCCAGAAATCATTTGCAGGCATGACCAGTTCATAATGATTTTTACCATCACCACCCCCACCAAAACTAACATTTGGCCCCTAACGGCTGCCTTAGACATATTTAATATCGGGAATCATATTTATTATAATATAGAGAGCATACAAATACGTGAGTACAGGTCGTGCAACGTAAAGAGTGAAAAACAAGCTATAATAACAGGTAGTGGATATTCATCAACATCACCTCAGTCGGCCTACCTGCTGGACACTACCGCTGGGAATCTAAGTTTTTCAAGAAAATTAAAGCAACATCCATAAAATAGTCGGGTTGGCAACAAGCAAAGATAGATATCGCTGGAATTCGCAGAGCGCAGATATACTCATTGTCATATGCTCGACGCTGACATTTGTACGGCTCAAGACCGAAGTGATCCATCGCATCGTGCATCTTCCAGATCTGTGATCGGCATGTGGTGAGGAGGGTAGCGGTGTCTATCAAAGCCACCATGACATTACCATAATAATTTCCATCAGCCTTTTTCTTAGCCACGTGCCAGCCCACGGCATCTGGGCTTGTTGTCATGGAAATGAACGGTGTCCCGGCTCTACTGCTCCAATTGGCGTGACGTTTGACCATGGTTTTGAAATTTGACGGATTATTTGGCAGATACGGATTTCCGGAGTTAAAGCCAGCTATGGTATACTGACTCACGGAGGTCTCATCATAGACTCGGTACAATATTGGTGGCAAGTCCGTCACGCATGACACCGGCGGAGGGAGGAAGCTGGAAAATGTCAATCACTAGTAGCGCAGAATACGGGAACCGGGACACCCTTACCTTGTAAGACTTTGCACCCAGATTGGCTGTTCCTGTGGCATTTGTTCTTTGTATTCCAAGTACATTTCTTCATGTGTCCATACCCTCTTCGTGTTCAGCTCAGCTGACTCCTGCTGAAGTTCTCCTTGTGATAATAGATACTGGAGCATCTTCACCCGGTGGTCCTTCTCACTATGTCCACCAATCAGCCCTTGCCGCTGCCCATGCCCGTTTGGGGCCGCTGATTTCAACACTAGTGGTGGTTCTGTAACTACTCTCTGTTCCGTAATAGGCTTCTCCAGCTGTTCGATCTCTCTCTCCTTTCGGGAATACTCCACCTCGTCTTCAAGCTGCGAAACTTCCAGGCTCTGTTGTTCGTCTTCTTTCCTTTTTTCCTTCGCCGCTTCGTCTTTACGTCTCTCTTCATCTTCCCGCACATCCTGAATCCACTTCGCTTCTGAGATTACTTGCTCCTCCTTCTGTCTCTCTTCTTCTTTCCGCTTCTCCTCAATTCTTGTCTCTTCCGCAATTCTTCTGTCTTCCGCAATCCTTCTCTCTTCCCTAATCCTTCTCTCTTCCGCAATCCTTCTCTCATCCGTAATCCTTCTCTCTTCCGCAATCCTTTTCTCTTCCGCAATCCTCATCTCTTCGGCAATCCTTCTCTCTTCGGCAATCCTTCTCTCTTCCGCAATCCTTTTCTCTTCCGCAATCCTTTTCTCTTCCGCAATCCTTCTCTCTTCCGTAATCCTTTTCTCTTCCGCAATCCTCCTCTCTTCGGCAATCCTTCTCTCTTCCGCAATCCTTCTCTCTTCCGCAATCCTTCTCTCTTCCGCAATCCTTCTCTCTTCCGCCATCCGTTGCTCCTCGATCTTTCTCTCTTGCTGCTTCAGCCTCTCCTCCTCCTCTAAGCGCATTTTCTCCTTCCGCTCCTCCTCCTTAATTCGCCGCTCTTCGACACTTGCTTGCTCCTTTTGCCTCTCTTCATCTTTCCGCTGGTTCGCATTGTGTCTGTGTAAACTACTAGCAATGTGGTAGGTCTTGAGATGTGTCTTCATCGTTATTTCGCATACATCGCATTCCCAGGGGGTTACATCCTTCAACGGTTGCTGATATTTTGGTGTAGCATGATTCTGCCCTCTCTTTCGCGCATTCTCCGTTCTGTGCTCCCTAACCTTTCCCCGTTCCTCCTCTTGTTTCTGTTGCCTGTGCTCCTCGAACCTCTTCTTTTCGAGTCTTTTTTGCTCAATTCCCCGCACTCTCTCTTCCTTCTCTTCCTTGAGCCATCCTTCTAACCGTTGTTTCTCTTGCGTATTGTCCTGCAGGTCCCTAACCTTCTTTAGTTCCACTAACTTCTCCTCCTTTCTATCCTTCCCCATCACCTCCTGCACTATCGGCCCCTGCGCTCGATCCAATACCTGCTTCTGTGATATTTCGTTCTGAAGGTGTACATTGCTCTCGAGGTGTGCGCCTTTCAACATGGCGCGCATTGTCTGGTCGCAAAGCGGACATTCCCAAACACCTACGCTACCACCCCCCGGTGCAGAGATGGTCATTGGGACCTTTCCAGGCTCGGGAAGAGGGCCTTCCCTTTGTGTGGGGTTGGGGTGGGTCGAGGGTGTAGAGCGGGGAGAACTATTAAGACGTTCTGAGCGGGCGCGTCGCGCATTCATGGCACCAGAGCCGGGTACCGCGTACGTTGGGTAATTGAACCGACTGTGGTCCATGAGCTTGATATGGGAATGGTGAGATAGATGTTTGTTTTGTCCGTTCCTGTGACGTTCTATAAACACTGTTGATGCTGCCTGTTAGTCTCGGCCAAAGGAGCCCCGCTATAGAGACGTAACGAGAGAACTAGAGATACATAATCCTGCATACCTGATTGAGGAGAAAACTAATCCCTAGAAAGATCCACATTTAAGGTGAGGAGGAGGAGGAGGAGCAGAAGGATCCCTAGCTTCGTATGTTTTCACAAAAGCTAACCTTCACCGCCACGAGCACTACTCCACCGAGCCGGTAAACCAACACTCGCTCCGAGAGTGCTATATATACTTCTTTGGGCTGATAGGTCACTCTTTGCGACCCATCATCTGCCTATTCCATTGGTTCCATATGCTGGGACCTAAGACGTCCTAGCTTTGCTGGAACAACACACAGCCTTGTATACATACAAGGGTTCGCAGATGAGGCTCTTGGAATGCTGGATGCCTTAAAAATTTACCAAGTACCCTAGCTGTTACACATGGAGTAGATCTTCACAGTTATTGGGCAGAGAGTCAGCTTCGTATCCAATACCTACTGAATGGAAAGCCTTTATTCACTAAACTTCAATTGCAAGTAATTCCGGGAGCGATAGTCATTTATGATATTGCAATTGTGGGTGATCAGGTACAGTTACGCAATTACACGAACCCCAGCTCTCACCGTCCTTCGCATTACTATTCCTCCCACACACCCCCGCACCCACCTCTAGAGCTCGATTAGTTGAGAGCACACATTCTATCATGTTACCGCCCGGGACCCGATAACCGCCCTGGGATACATGAAAATCAGAGTCATCGCTTCCCACCCGGCCTATGCGCGCAATATAACCGAGTCTATGCAAACAGTACCTCAGTTGGTCTAACCTTGTGTCTCACCTTGTAATTGTTTGTTATCCACTGGATAGACGTCGTTTACTATGCTATACCACTTTAATGCATTCCATGCAGACTAAGACCGCGGGGCGTTTATGTATTCCCACGTGCTCGAAGACGACAGTTATGTTGATAACATTCACTGCTGGTATGTATATCTATATAGAAGACTACTCTTCAGGCTGGAGAATGTGTAGTTAATTTGGCCCGTGGTATGGAGTATATTGCAGCCGTTGGCGTTTGCAAATAGTTCAAGCCTTCGACATCATAATTTAAAAAGGTGCAACATATTCGGCCCAGGCGTCCATGGTATTAAAATTGTGAGTTCTTTGGAGGCCGGCTTGATCATGCACACACTGCTAGGAACGCTCCACGGATATCCACTGAGAAGAACTGGGTACGCCTTTGCTAGCTATCAATATATTTCGCTGAGTTCCAGCGTTACCCAACGTTACACAACTCGTGCAGCGTTTGATATGGCCTATAAATGACTTATCCCTTCGTCTGGCGAAAAATGCTGCCAACCAAATATATATATATATATATGTCTAGCTTTAGTAACAGATCCTGTTATCTCTCTTATCAAATAATAGATCTCCCATAGAAATCTAATTCTCGTATTATAGGGTGGACAGCACCGTCAGACTAAGGGATATAATGTACATAACGTTGCGGAACTCCTGAGGTCCGTTGACCATTGCAACAGAATCTTTTAGCTGCAAGAGTTGAACAGAAAGTCGAGCACTTCGACAAAATGTCCTGCAGATCTTATTTATTGAACGACTGCAAGTGTCTTCCTAAAACAGCTAGACTTTCTGTCCAACCTGCTCGACTTTCTGTTCAACTCGCGCAGCTAAAAGACTCTAATATATATCCTCTATACTGTCTTGTCGAACGCTGTGCACAACTGGATACTTCAAGATTGTGATAAAAGGAAAGGTCACTACCAATGAGATCCGGCTTGGGAGCGAAAGCTAGAGGGCATCATACTAACATCACAGTAGCGGAAATACATTGATCCTGGTAGTGATGTCTTTCCCTCCAACACTTTACACCAAGACAATACATATATGAGCATATATGGGGACACGAAAACGCTATAAGTCAACCGCCACCTGAGACAACATCTAAGGTTCTATCCGCATATGTACGTGCATTTGCTTGAGAGCAGGCTAAGCTAACTAAAGCTGGCTAAAAGGAATCAGGCAACCCACTCGACGGCGTACTCCGAGACACACGATCAAGCACCACGCTATATATGTCAAGTCTAGAATAGAGTGGGCCCTGTCGTACATCCCATGCATGTTGGCCTAAATAAAACGGGCCGTCCCGTAGCCGCAAAGTAAGCCAGTGAGCGGATAAGTTTGAGTATGGAGCCCAGCACAAGGTTGGGTTTCTGAACTCCTTAAATCCTTAGGAAATCTCTCAGGTCATCTCCATTCTCTACCAGCACCCCTCCCACTGTATTTACACAAACCTACTATCTCAACATCATACAATTCTATATCTAAGCTACGCACCCGCCGCTCTCGAGAAAGTCAAATGGCCAAATCAACGATTTACACACCATCTCATGAGAGAGAAGCCGATTGCTACAAAGTACACGATCTTTTATGTGCCCCTGATGCAAAGAAAGCATTCGGAAATGATCGTTGGTTCTCAGCATCTTCAAGCGCAGATGTCTTTGATATGCGAGGCACCTGTGGAGGTACGGAACTACTTAATTCAAAGATATTTGGAGCGTATATTAATACTAAGGAAGTCATGCGGTACAACCTCGGTGATCGGCAGATTCTTGCTATGCTAGAGGCTTGTTTACCCAATCCAACTACCACACAATCCTTAGAGTTTATTAATCTTATACTCCATATGATGAGCAGGAAACGTCCCGGGCAGACACGGAAGCGACGTTACAGGAGAGGGTGCATACTCGAATAATGTAACTACATGTACTCTCGTCCACCATATTGATAATACGAGAATCTTACAGTATATTATAGATTTATCGATGAGGTTCAAGGTGACCTAGACCGTCTCAAGTGCACTTCCGAGCTGCTACAGGCCATCTTTCAAACATATTGCATCTCATCCCGAGTAGCGAGGCTTTTGGAACGGCAGCATATGCCTGGCCGAGTTGTGCAGTATGATCCCATCACCCAGAAACCCATCCACCACCGTGAGACCCCCGGTCCTGTGGGGCCTTGCCCGAGAGCATCTTGAAATATACTAATCGTCTTGACACCTATAGAGTTTTGGTATTCGACTATCCTCCGTTTAAACGAAAGCATCACATCCTTAGACTCATCCAAATCTGTATTAGGCTGGAAGCGTCTCTGCGTCTGGGTGGGCCGCAATTTATTTGCTGGAACCACGATCATGCTGGTGCTGAGATGTCCCAAAGATATGAGAGCTGAGCTTATATCAAGTTTCAGTGATAAAGGTGAAGTTGTGATGCGGCAGCCCATGCTGCTACACGCATTCTTTGCGCAGAATTCCCTGCAGAAAGCGGATAAGTTCACAGAGACCTGGGCTGATCCTATATATGAGTGGGTAATGAATCATGTTATGCCCAAGCACATCCTCTATAGCTATGCTGCCACCGAATGGAGCTGTCTAACTTTGCATGATTAAACAGGAGCAAAAGGTCGATGACAATGGCTCTACATCCGTTTTCACAGCTCGGACTAGGGTTTTCCTAACGCTCGCACGCCAGATCACCCAAGTAGCAACTGACTATGAAATCCTCGGTCCCGCTCTTCACCACCTCAAGACTGAGTACGAATGGATAGCCGCTCAGTCTAACGATGATCATTTGGAAATGGACAACTCTTCGGCTGGTGTAGACAACTCGGAATTAAAAGATGTTTGGGATGTCTATATCTCCGAGCTTCAGCTTCTCAAAGCATACGCAAAGCTATACGAGACTAGAACGCAGCTCGCCATTAACGAGGTATACCCTATCCTCTGTGTTGAATAGTCATCCAATCACTTTGCTGATATAACCACTAGTGTTTTGCGATGGTCAACCAGCGAGACGCTGAGTTAAATATCCAGATGGCCAGAGAGAGTACGCAGATTGCGCGATCAAGCCGTGATGATGGACGGTCACTTCGCACAATACAGATTCTCACGATGATCTTCCTTCCAGCATCATTATTTAGTGTAAGTCTCCCAGATTTTGTTAACAGCGGGTTCGTTGATACTAATTTTAAATGTCATTTTAGGGCATCTTCGGTATGGGCTTTTTCAATACCGACACCGATGACAATGGGAATATCAGGTTCTCGGTTAGTAGCAACTGGTGGTGGTATCCAGCGCTGACTATACCGATGACGGCGGTGACAATGCTCACTCTGGTTGGGCGAAAACTGGGCGAGAAATGGAAAACAAATAAACGTGCAACTGGTCATTTTCAGAACCCCGGGGTTGGCTGCTGATATATGAAGCCAGATCAACCTAGCACTTCATTCGAATACATACATGTGGGATCGGTAGCTTTGGATCCAGTGTTACAATACCGCTCAGTAGATAATAGTAGAGAGAACTAATTAGTCATCGAGCGTGGTTTAGAGCGCCTATTGAAATAAGTTCTTGAATAAATACATTCTTCATGATATCATCCCTATCAGATTAGCTGTCTTTGACAATTTCACAGAATATAATCACAACCCCCCGATCGCGCCAGTTAGAGCACATTACAACACAAATTAATCTTGAACTAACACTCATTGTATGTGGAAATAGTTGGGCTGAAATTCCCCCCTCTCTCCATCACCCTCGACTGATACCCAACATATTTGTATCTCATGCATGCATCAATATATGTATATAAGTACCTGATCCAGGTCAATTAAAGTCCCACGCGCACGTCTAACTGTCTCTTCCTAATAGCATCTCCCCTCATCACGTGTACCATCGGCAGGTTCACAAGTATCCGATGGAAGACCGAGCTCCTTTACGAAGTCGCTCCTGTTTTTCAGCATCGAAACAAGCGTCTCGTGATTACGCAAAACCTTGCTCGCAACCAGCTTCGCTTCCGACACATAGTCCAAGTCAAACATGCTGAAAACCTCCGCGCGAGCAGGATCCGAGCAAAGGTATTTGTGGAAGGCAACTGCTTGCTCATCCTTGCTGGCACAGCATCCGGTCTCCACCATTAATGCTTGGAACCATTTGTATGGGGTTTCTGCTGCCTCAAGAGGAAAGCCAAAAATCATGCCTCTAGCGTGGATATCGGCGTTGTATTCCAGCAGACAACCCACCATCTCACACTCTCCTCGAGATGCTGCAGCGATGAGGGGAGCTCCGAGCTCACCACTGGTGATGTTTGGGTCTGCATTCTTCTCAAGAAGAACCGATACAAACCGGGTATCCCCAAAGCGTGCTGCGTTGGAGAGCACGGTATCGTCTTCTCGATCTTGAATGGGGTTTCGCAATCGCTCCTCAAGGTCCCGGATTCACCCCGACCGAAATAGGATAAATGCCGTTCCATCTTTGATTCGACCAACCCTGGCGTCAATATGTACGCCCTTAAGGATCAGATGATGGATAATAGGTAAAGTCTCTTCCTTGACGTCATCATTGTATTTCTTCCGCTGGAGATAACCAGCAAGAGCCGTTTGGAGAGCCGTTCCATATTTCCCGCCCTCGGAATTAACATCAATCTCCTCCGACAAAAACATGAAAAGAAGCTCCAATTCCCCGGAAGCTACGGCAGCCTGCAGGAGCGTATGGGAAAAATGACCCACAATGAACATCAGCACCGATCGATATCAGCTTTTCTGTCAATTCCTTGTTTCACCATAATACCACGTGCTGGAGAAGAGAGGCAGAGTAGTCATTGCTGTACTGAATGTCGATATTGTTTTTTATTAATATTTCGAGCACCCTTTCGTCTCCGAAACTAGCCATTGCCTGCCAGAATTCACTAATCGTCTGACCTTTCCAGGGCTTATCTTTTGCTTGGTCCAGTAGTTGCTGCAATGAGCTGTACATCTTTTGCTTAACTGTAAATGGCAACAGCAGATGCCAAAATCTTTCCTCCTGATCTGTGTTGCCGAGCGCAACCGCCATCTCCTTCAACATTGTAGCTTTGCCCTCCCCATGGCCAAGGTACGTGTAGACTTCCAAAGCTTTCGCCAACACTTCGCCGTTGATAACGGGCAGAAGATCATCCTCTTGATCATGATATATTTGCCTGTAGAAATCCAAGAGACCGGGCCCCGCGCAAATTACAAAAGGCGCCTGTCCGGGCTCTGAATCAGCAACTAAAGTCATCCATGGAGTATAACGGGTCCACCAGTCAATATCGGATTCCAACAACGCCCGTATAAGAGACTTCACGGTTTCGGGTAGGGGTGTATTAATGAGACGGAGGTGGTAGTGCCATTCACGAAGTATATAGGATAAATCCAGTTTCCAGTCCCTCATTTCAGAAAACCATTGGGTCTTTTCCAGTAGACTGAAATCCTTGCAACGGAGGAAATAGGCGCATGTTGTCACAATCTCAATCTCACCTCCGATACTGCTACCGACGAAACCATCCTCGCTCTCGAGAAACTCTATTGCACTGAAATGGATTGGCCTTACAGTGCACCCGTCCTCAATGACAAGCAGACCACAACAGGCATCGATGATTGCACTTGGGTGGTACTTTTTGGAACACTTGACCGCACTTTGTGAGGATTCGTCAATCCCGACGATGGCGGCTAGCTGGCAAGCATTCAAGGGCTCTCTTGCATTCATCACCCAGATCAATGCCTTCCTTGCGATCCTACGCCTGACCTGGTGCTAGCCATTTATCTTATCCAATATCCGTCTATATGTTGCATTCATATCCTCCGGCATACACTCCAAAGCGTGGATGATGTCTGCTCTTGATAGTTGATCGTAGATATGGTCGAGCTGACAGCGAACCCAAAGGAACCTGAGATGCATGTCAGTATCAATTCAATCTGTTCGTTCGAAAGATATCTCACATCGCATCGGATCGAGAAACAAGCGCTTGCCGAATCTCCTGTCGCAGATCTTGGTCGATATCACAGTAATCATTCACACGTTGCTCCAATTCGTTGTCGACATATCTAGCAATGTCTTCCAGGACACCCCCGGCGCGGATCGGGAGTACCGCATACGTATCCGACGTGAATTGGCGCTCTATGTCTCTCTGTTGACGGCTAGTAACGAAGACCTTGAGAATAGCGGATGTCCCGCTTTTCGTTTGACTTTCCTTCAAAGTCTGGCTGATATACGGAAGTAACTGATTCCTTTTATCCTTGGGACATTCGTCCATAGCATCAATGACAATAAAGACCTTGTCGAAGGCCTGCGATATTTGAAGGAATTCCTGTTTCAGCTCCGAAAGTTTGGGCAAGATGTCTCTCTGCCCGTATAGTTTGTGAAGTGCTTCAAGCGAAGATGGGACGTGTTGGGTACAGCGGCAAAGCTGTTTGATAAGGATACGGATAACGCTACTGATATCTTGCTCTTCCTCACTTTGAAAACTGAAGTAGAAATATGCTATCCCGATCCTATCCTCTGACTTATACTTGGATAGTATATTCTCCACCATGGCAGAACTTCAGATACGTTTGTCGTCAGAATTATGAAATTAGGGTATATAATTATAATCACCGGTATTGACTTACGCTAGAACAGACTTCCCAACTCCAGCTTTTTGGATTGGGTCATCATCAGACAGAGTATTAATGGAAACGCGAGGACCGTTGACGGATCAGTACATATCTTTCCCGTAACACCAAACAAGACATGCCTCAACACTCTCAAACCAGTTTCCTACCTCCTCCGACTTCAGTAACCATTCCCCGGTATTCTCATACCTCTTCTCATATATCCTCTCATGGTCTTTCTCGGGTTTTAATTGAGACAGCCACCGTAGCAGCTCCTGCCGATACCGCTCTTCAAGATGATGGCCATAGATTAATTAGCCTTTTGAAACAAAGCGGGGCGCTGGCTGCGTACCTGATCTCTCTTGGGCCTCTCGTGTCTCTTCATCTATCCTCCTCCTACATTCCTTTATATATACAACCCTCTCGACCATTCTCACGTTTTCCTCAAATCGGGTAACAACCGAATCGAAATCTTTTTCAATCGGAGCCGTCAGCTGTCGACGAAATATTCTGCCCGAGATGATTTCTGACAGGCCACAGACAATATCAGCCACGTTTTTCCCGGGACGACTCGAGGAAAGCGATAGGCGAAATCCAACCGGGACGATCTCCGGGCCGGGGGTTAAACATGCTACATACATACCTCTAATTGTTCCATCCTGGTTTGCGAAAATACCATAAATTTCGCAAAATTCGAGTAAGCCTTCATACGTATCGCACAAAGCCTACAAGGTTTTAGTCGATGATATTCAAGACTTCCAAGTTACTGCAGCTGTCCTACCATTTTGACCTCCTGGTAATGATGGTATATGGCATATTCAGAGATATACTTCAGATCACGTTCCATCCTCGCCAAGGTATCACCTAGCTTGTCGAAAAAGCCAATGTAACGTAAACCAATCTCAAGGAAATTATCAGCGCTTCAATGGGGCAACATCGTCAAGTCGGCGGATAATCATATAAATTACCTACATCAACAAAGAACTTAAGTCTACTGATAACTAGGGAGGATATCTCCGGGCTACTCTGAATTATTATTGATATCGACTTGAGATATCCGTCAACCACCTCTAGAAATCCTTGTACCGGGTGTTGAGGGTAAGTGATCAGAATCTGATAAGTGAATGTTGCGGTGAATACGTGTATTTGTCTTATCAGATTCTGATCACTTTTCGCTACACCCTAGTACATGGGTAAATCCCTTTCGCGTGCAGCTCCTCTGCTTGTGTTCTCTGTCGAACCTTCCCACGGACTCTATAAGTTTGGCGACGGAAACATCACCTACGCTCAGGAGATATTGCTTGTCGCCTGTTGCCAATTTCTGCTTATACCTCTCAACAGCCTCCTGAAAGATCAAGTTTGCATCCTCCGCCGGGTTTATGACTGTCGTCTGCGTGGGAACCCTAACCGTGACTGTACCGTTGACGTTGGGATCTGGTACAATTGCACCTGCTGATATCGATGTCCTAGTATGTCGAGGGAAGGGCGATCAGCGGCCGAATCAAACATAGAGCATTCCTTATAATATGAATACATGCAAGTGCAAGAATATGTTTACCAGTAAACGTCTGTCGGAATGGGATGTGTGGTCACGGCGGAAGAGTCAACTACAGGCGGCTGGGAATGACTGGCAGTAGCGGGAGAAACACTGCGCGCTTTTGATGATCCCCCTAGTGTTCTGAGGACACCGAGCTTTCGTCTCAACCCTTTCACAATCGAGTCGGTTGGCGATGATATTTCGAGGTAAATTTTACGCCGTCAGGTCTGATCTCAATCGTGTTATTCAACCGTATGTGGAAGCTTTGATACAAAAAACTATATGAACACCTGGCTCCTCACGATTTTACACTAGCTACATGTGGTTCTGATCATGTCATCTAACCCATGATAGATCCTACTGGGGTACGGTATGTTTGCCCGCTTGCTGTAGTGTTCGCGATTTCGTACATGAGTAAGTTTAAAATCCACATCGCATCATTGGGAGCACCTCGTATATCCTATGTGATGTTTGGGCCATAATGACTACAGACGTTGGTAGCCGGTCACCATTTTTCCTACTGAAAAGAGAAAATGGAATGCAGTGTAACTCAATTTTCCCCCACTCGAGAGCATTCGCACCTCCGATCATACATTTTCAGGACTGCAGAGTACATGACCTAAGATAGAGAAACCTTTATCCCTCACGTAAGGGCTATATATGTTCCACCGGCCGAGTACATGGTGGTATCTTTCCATGAGTTCAGATTCCAAGTCATACCCTTCGAAGAAACATCTGTCCCCATCAACTCCAGCCTAAGACCCCCTTCGCATCCTGCATCCAAGCTATTAATTCCTAGAACAACCCTTGGTGTGGTCGAAAACATATCCTCCGCAAATTCTACAGGGCCGGACGTATTAGGCCTTGGATTGTCCCTCGGGCGCACATCAGTTGTGCTGAAGCTGCCACTGCAAACATCGGCCTTTTCTCTCGGGTAGGCGATCCAGCTAGCCGCAGCGGCACACAACTGGCTATCGCCCCATGTTTCGATGTGGACCGTGAATCCTGTGGCAGTGATATCTGATGCGAACGATTTCACACGCCAATCCTTTTCCGAGTGCATATTGAAGGCGCTCAACCAGACGACCACCTCGGGTGGTTCATCGTATGGTCTCGCAAACGAGATTCGACGCTCGTGGGTTGCCTGCGAGGTGCTCCAAGGATGGTCTTCAAGGGTGCTGTAGCGCCCGCATTGGAAGTCTTGATGGTCTGGTTCGATTTCAAGCCAGATGCAACCGCCCGAGTTCACCGGATTGCCATCAATGTTGACCTCGAAACGGTTATTTTCAAGATTGCTTATGAAGGTCGAGATCCGCATAGTATCCCCGCTGGCGACATCGAGAGCGTACAGTCCGATCGCCATACTCGGGGGTGCCTTGTATGGCTTGGCAAACGTGACATGCTTGGACGTTTTCTCGACTGGGACGGTATCAGGCCTCACGTTCTTGGTGTTGAAACTACTAATGACGGGGTTCTTTGTGGATCTTGGCCGAGAGGAAGTCGCTGTCGCAGTATCAGTATCAGTATCAGAATCAGTACTAGCTGATATCGTATCATAACATGATCGATGGAATGGGCATAGTGTCTTACGTCTACTTTCCAAGGCATCCGCAAGTTCGTCGTTTGCCTCCTTCGCCTTCAATAACTCCTTCTTCGTGTTTGAAAGATCCCGAGTAAGGATCACCAATCCTTTCTTTGCTTCTGTTAAACTCTTGTAGGCTTCCAGCAGCCCATTCTTTATCTTCGCGGTCTCATTCTTCAATTGGTTGTTTGTTGAAATCAGGGATGCGTTCTGGCTCTGGAGCTTATTCACGGCGGTAGTGGAGGCTGTTTTGGTACCGTTCGGTGAGTTTGGTGGTCGTGGCGATAGGTTCGTGACGATTCGGCCTGGGCCAGTAAGTGGCCGCAAGAGATCGCTGGAAGTGAGAGGTTTCGACACCTGTGCTCCGGTAACTAGGGCTGCGATGTTCTCAAGGCTTTTCACGGCGGACTCAAGGGCATCAGCCATGGCGAAGAATAGTTCAGTTTAGTAGATTAACTAGGAGAGAGGGGACTGTGTTGACAAGAGTGATGATGGAACGATCGAGTAGCTTTTTGTTTATGGGGGGGGGGGGATGAGAGGCTATCTGTAGCATGTAGGTGGTCCATTTTCAATTTATCTACGCCGCGGAGGAGAGAATTGAATGTCCAATTGAACGGATTCACATGATACTTGGGCCATGGTTCCGGCCCAAAGAAAGTCGGGTCGCCACTACCAGTTGCCATCTGGGGAACTCTGCTACAACTATTCGTAAACTTTGCAGAAGATTCCACTAACATGAGTGTAATTATTGGCAGCACACCTCCGACCAATTTTTATACGCCACCCGCACGGGATTAATAATTTGTAAAGTGGCGCGCATTACTAGGATACCCCTTCCAGACAATTCATTACAAGAGCATTGTTGCCTGCATGTATTTAACCATGTTTTCAGAGGTACTCCGATTGCGTGCATAAGACAAGGGCCCCCCGACAAGATCTTCTGAAATCACGAGTCTTTATCTCTAATGTCTTATCGAGAGTGACGTGTAGAATCATCAGTGTGCAGGCCTGCTGATTGGCATGGTAACGAATCAAAATACCAGATGGGGTACTTACGTGTGCAGAATTGTAAAACCTTGATACAACCACTACTGACAGCCTTCGGTAACATGTCTAAGCGGCTTTCAATGCCTTTGAAATATTCCAATTGCAACAGCCACTTGCCAGTACTGCTTCTATCTGCAATTCCGAAAAGAGGAGGAGATGATTTCTAGGGAGCCATGGTCAGCGACAAGTGCTAGGTCTTTTCCGAAATTAATCAAAACGTAGCTTAAATGTAAAGCAGCACCTGGTTGTGAAGAGTTTGCGAAATTAAATTAAATCTTTGATTGGGTGCGCGTTGTGGTATCTTATTTTTCTTAAGATATTATATAAAGGGGTTGGAACCCAGGTCAATGATTTCTCAATAGAACGTTGGAACACTTTTGTATCCGAGCAATACTAGTGTGGTCGACAAGCCAGCTTGAGGCAAGAAAGACACAAGACTAAAATTTATTTTTGATAACAGCTGCTCAACTCCACTCGACTTCTCAAAGCTCCGGTGCAGTCGAGGTACTTGAGCTTTTAAGTGGACTTATATATTAGTAGTTGAAGTTAGAGAAAATGTCTAGTAGGGCAATGTCGGACAGGATTTTGAGGCTGCCCGGGAACCGTCGCCCCACAATTCCGGGCTCCGTGGCTATGGGTTGAACAGGACGACCCGAGTCCATTCCCATCATCAGGTATGCACCTACAGGGGGTCGTGGTTGTGATTGCGTGGGGGGAGGTGGTGGTTGGGGGGTGTTGAGTAGGGTAACTCACTGTGAGTCGTGGCAACCTATCTCTCAAGGGTACGAGTAGCGAGTATTCCGCAGGGTACGAAGGGGGTAGTAGAGGTCGGTGGGGGAGAGCCTGCGATAGGGATCCTGAGGGACTAGCATTGGTAAGGGTCAAAGGGACAAGGGAAGCAGCGGCACGGTGGTCTTCTTGAATAAAGAAGAGGAAATAATATTATATAGCAATAGACAGCATAGGTACAGAAGACGTTGCGTGTCAAAAGAAAGAAAGAGAAAGAGAAAAAGAAACGAGGGCAAAACCTCCTAATATACCTAAGGAAATCTCAGCGATGACTATTTCAAAGTGAGTCATACACTTACGACCAACAGAACCCGATAGAACCTAATAGAATCTTTCTGACTAATCCAACTCCTCATAACCTAGTGTATTAATTAATCGATCCAAGAACATATCCCAGTTCACTCCTACTACCACCACTCACCAGGTGGGTACAATGATCGATGACTACATGTTACCAAACGTACATTCTTAAGCCCACGATTATGACGGTACTCGAAATTTACTAATGACATATTTTTCCATCCTCTGTTTCAATGGAATACATAAATTTGGGATTCTGAACTCTGGGTTACCACATTGGGTGAATCCCACTAATAGTTTCCGCTGTTTCTTCTTACGCTAAAGCGGATTCTGTACTCTAGGTCACCACTTTACCAATTTTCAACGCACGTAATCCTAACTACCGACAACTAAGTTTCAACTACCACCAAATACACATTGATGTATGTAATTTTGACCGAAGATTGTATTTTGTACACGTAACCAAACCAACTTTCAAAACTCGTAACCCTAACTACCCACAAGCAGGATTCAACCACTACTAAATTCACATTGATGTATTTTATTTTGACGGAAGATTGTATGTTGCAGATCTAACAAAATCAGCTTCGAATGCTGATAACCCTAACTACCCACATCCAGGTTCCAACCACCACATAATACAATTGATGTATTTCATTTTGACCGAACATTGTACTTTGTACACGTAACCAAACCAGCTTTCAATGATCGTAACCCTAACTACACACAACCAGGTTTCAACCACCACCAAATACACATTGTTGTATTTCATTTTTACCGAACATTGTATTTTGTACACGTAACCAAACCAACTTTCAACGCTCATAACCCTAACTACCCACGAGCAGGTTTCAACCACGACCAAAAACACATTGATGTACTAGCAAAATCCACTTTCAACGTTCGTAACCCTAACTACCCACAACCAGGTTTCAACCACCACCAAATACAGATTGATCTGTTACATTTTGACCAAAAATTGTGTTTTGTACCACTAGAATAACATAACGATCTGAAGAAAAACAGTGAGAAAAGTGTGACTTCATTATTCCGTCCTACATTCTAATTCCAATACATAACAATGAACCTCGCAATTACCAGTCTTCGGGCTGTGTGTTACAGGCCAACTCGGAGAGAACTAGAACGAGGTTCGAGGGTTTTCGGTAAGAGAACAGTAGAAGTTGAGTCAGGGTCTTGTAGGTGAAAACTCTTCACCTCGTGCAGGGTCAGGGTCAGGGTCAGAATTCGGGGTTATCAGACTTGATATCGATAGATACTATACGAAATTTCCTAACGATAGAATGTCGAAGGAAACAAACGAGAACAGGGTCAAATGCTTAACGTTAATTGAAGCGAAAGTGAGACTATGACTGGCATCAAGGGGCACAACGAAGAGGTTATATGAGTTGAGTTCGTAGAGGTTCAAAGACAGAAAATAGAATATATTCTAATAGAATAGGAAGTTCGAATAAGGAGAAAAGAAAGAAAGTACGAAGGGAAATTACAACCATATATATATATTCCAAAACCTGATGACTAAATCGCGTAACAGAAACTCATAGAAAGAAAACTCAAATACTACCAAAATTCCAAAAGAGAAACAACAAACGAAATCCCGATTACTAATCACTCTCCTTCCTGATCTTCTTCCTTACTCGCACTACGTCGTTAAACTGTACCATGTTATTGTTCCCGAAACTACTGAATAATATTGAATCAGTGGATAGATATGCATGCCTATTGGGACAGTATGCAAAGCACACATTAATGGTGAAATTGGTTACTAATGTTTGTGCTCGCTTGACAGGTATAAATATCAATCGGAACAGAAGGTGCATCAGAGTTTGTAATTGAGATTTGTTGGTATGGTTTGCTATGATTCGATTTGTATGCATACTTGCTGTAACAGAATGTAAGTCAGGAATAGTACATAAGATTTGAGAGGATTTTTGGCAATCGCTTGATACGCATGCATAGAAATCCGAATGGCAAGTAAAGTGTATACCGATAAGAAAAGCTTACTGTATGATGTTTCAACACTAAATAGGAGTCGATACCTGTCAGAAAAATATTCGAATCAGTAATTAGCAGTGAAATTGGTTGATATCATTAATAATTGATTCATACTTATACGTTCTTATCAGAACAGCAAATTTAACAGTTATTGACAAACAAAACCTTTTGTATTATTTACAATCCTTTGATGGGTATGTATCAGGACAGCGAGTGTATCAGAAATTCAGATTCTCATTTGTTACAATCGTTCATGAAGGTTTGAAAGCTATGAATATTTATTTGCACAGTAAAATACTGAAATTGATACTCAATGCATTTGATGGCTTGATTGGTATACCATGTTCTGGATCAATATTGAATAGATTGAATACTGCACTACGGTTTGCAAAATATCTTCTCCCAAAACACGAGGTTGCGGCTTTCCAATCCATTCTGAAATATATACAATCTATGATCATATTCTGAACTTGAGAGTGAACAATATTCAGCAGTCATCTCTAAAACTCATTATTTTAATTGATAACAGTCTGAATAACGTGTATGCTCATATTTTGTATTCTTGTAAACGGCTGGGAATTTGACGATGTCCGCAAAATATCATGTCTTCCACCTCACCCACCAATTAATAGTATGCACCCGCATTTCCCCAAACCTTTAGAATTAACATTATAGGGGGTTTTGATTGAGAATATCATATTTGAGGTGACTGGCGGTCAGTATAGCCCTCAATGGCTTGAGCGTTCTCAGTATAACCCAATTCAGATCCTAATACCTTGTCTGATTTCATGGATCGATTGAATAATATAGTAGGTTACAAAGGGTCGAATTGATCAGAAAACTTCTATGGATTTCCAGAAGTTTCCGTCGATTTTAAGGGTATGAGTTACTTGAGATTTGTGATTGCTAAGCTTTCTTTATGTATATTAAGGGGCTTTGCCCTCGATTCTATTCTTTTTCCCTCTCTTTTCTTCTCTTTCTTTTGGTACGCAAAGGCTTAGGTGATCTACGCTGGCTATTGCTATTCAAGTACTATTTTCTCTTCCTTTATAAGGAGACCATCTCACTTGTCCGACCTTAACACCGCTGGACCTAAACTACTGTAAGTTTCTCCAACCCCTCTCGCTGATTAACCTACCAGCCCCTATGACCATCTCCCGTACCCTGCGGAACACTCGCCACCCAACTCCCTATGATTACGTTGCGTCGTAATCTGCACCATACGCCATGTTCACCCTCAACCGACCTACATAGGTCTCGTCTAACAAAATCGAGTAGTTTAACCATCAGTACGAATAGAATACTGCTGCCCTGTTTGACCACCTCCCTACTATCTTTTAAAGCATCCGACACGAGAGGGATAGTGCTCGTACACTGCTCTCCGCCGTCCACAAAACCATTGGCAACCTGGAAGAGCAAGTAATACAGGTCAACCTTGACCTCCATGTTGACCACACCGCCTCCACCCCCAATGTTCCTATCCCCATTTTCGCTGCTACTGCACCAACCACTGTCTCCACCTTTGGGTCTGAAACTTTCCCCGAAAAGTTTGATGGCATCCGGACCAAAATCTCCGGATTCGTTACCCAACTCCGAATGAAGCACGAAGTCAACCATAATCATTTCCGCAATGGGCCAGCAAAGGTTATCCATGCGGTCACCTGTTTGGAGGGAAGAGCCCTTGATCAGGTAATACAACTTGTTAACGCAAATCCTGCTGACTTCTTTTCCTCCGTCACCTTCTTTGTCGCCCAAATGAAAGGCTCATTTAGAGACCTAAACACCCAAAGTACCACCCACCACCAACTCGTCCCCCTGAGGCAGGGCAAAGGAGACTTTGCCACCTACTACTCGCAGTTCATCAGAAACGTATCCCACTTGCATTACAATAAAGGGGTCAAGATTGACGAATTGGCGGAAAGATTGTCTGACAACTTTAGAGACGTCATGACCTATCGAACGGACAGACCCAATGTGGTGGAAGCATATGCGACCATGTCAGTGACGATCGATAAAAACATGTGACTGACGTGCTATGATGAGGCATAACCGTGACTTCCTTTCGAATAGTGTAAATAAAGAGAGCGAGTTTTGATGATACACGTTCAGAAAGAAGAAAATGGCAGTTTGTATGTTTGAACGTTCCCAAGTCTAGAAAATTATAACTTTAATGAGTCTCCTCTCTATTAAAGATCCTTTGATGATGAGAGGCCAACCTGGGCCAACACCGAGTGCCTTATAGGAATATGGCGCATTTGCTCAAGTTCTTTTTCCGACTGACAGTCTGCCTATTGATAGTCAGGGGTACAGCAACTATTTTCTGTCAGGGGAGAGCAGAGTAACTACGACACCTTGGATGAACTTCTGTCCGAGTCAAATCATTCAATTTGCCGAAATCTGTAGTTGGAATCTCAAGAACTATTGGAAACAGCCGACCAGATAATAATTGGTTATTCTAACTTTATTACAACCGATTTGGGGGTTTGTAAACCGAAGTTTTGCTTTAGTAGCTTGAGTCGCACTCCCACTCCCCAAAGATGCTCCGCAGCAAAACAGGAGCATTCCGACAGTTTGACACTGCGGAGGTTAGTGTTGGGGATTAAAACGTGTTTTTGGAATTAGATTTTCCATTAGCTCCGGGACACCGCCAGAATCATTCCTGTCGTGCTAAAGCATGGTCTTTGAGCATCGGTTGGAGATATATGAAACCTGAAAGATTTGACTGACTAGGTATGAAACTGCCATCCGGGGTTCCCTGTGCTATCAGCCATCTTTGTTCTTCTGTTCCAGGCTTGCTCAGCCCCTATTTTTGACTTGTAAGACTTCTTACTCATTGAGATCACTGTCCTCTATACCACTAAGGGTAGGAGCCTAACTGCCCTTGTCTTCACGCGTCGATGAAGAACAAGCTGCTGTTACTTTGGGTCGGTGGCTTCACTGATGGAATAGGTTCTTTTGTAACAGCCTGATAGTGGCCTTGTTGCATTACTCCCCTCTATTGTAGACTCGTTTTGAGTCCACTGTAGTGTTACTGGAACATTAGTATTTGGCGTAAAAGTAAAACTGTAGCTCTATTGGTGATTACGTACAAATTACATCTCTGTTTCTATTTCCATTAGAGAAAGAAAACTCTAACATGAAATGCTTTTTAAAAACAAAGAAAATGACATATTCTCCACTCTTGTTGTAGAACCTTCCGTTCCACTAGTGGAGATTTCGATGTTAGCAAGAATCTCTCTTTTTCCCTTGTCTTTTTTACGCGGGTTTCCTCACGCTTCGGTTTCCTATCGTTTCTTGCATTGTTTTCAGGGAAAAATGGTATCCGAACTCTGTCAGACCGATGAAAAACCTGGTACAGGAGAGTTGGTTTTTGTTCCCGGATTTCTTCTGAGATACAGAACTACTCACGGCGTGTTTTGAGGATCCCTAGAGTTTCACCGTATTTTCCGAGGTTTTTGCGGGTATTTTTGATGAAATACTTTCAGGGCGTCATCGGCTCTTCCTTGCAGTATTTCGTATGGTTCCCAGGAGTCTTCCGAACGATAACCCTCCCAAACAATACGATACTCTACAAACATTTTCTAATGCCCAGCCTGTTGCCATCGGCTATTAGCTATTTCTTGGAGAGCGTAACTGTATTCTCCTTCGACCTCATCTGGAGTAGGAGGGACTTCAGTGCGTCGAGGGTATTTCAGTCCCCGATAGGACTCCAGCAGAAATATTTGGAAGTCATCATGAATGTTCCATTGAGAGGGAAGCTTCAGCCTGTAGAACGCAACAACAAGTTTTTCATCAACCTTAAAGAGACATAGTTTCTTATAGTCAAGCTTGCTTGAGGGTCGATTGGCAACCATATTGCGTCGGTCCATCATCACCTTATCCCCATCTTCAGGTTCTGGAGGTTTCATATGCTTCTGGTCATACCATTTCTTCTGCCGGGCCTGTGCCTTAAAAATATCAGTCCTCATAGTTTTTCAAAGAGCTTTCCACTTGAACTTTAGTACGGCACTGGAAACATTGGCATTGTCCAGCTTCCTTCTGCGCAAATATCAATCGGAATCAGGCTCGAACCCATACGTCGCGTAGAACTGAGATACTTTAATGGACTATTGGGTTGCCGTTTTGTAGGCGTACTGTGCAAGCGGCAGTAACCCTGCCCAATCGTCCTACTGGTAGGACCAAAAGTTTCTGAAATATTGCTCTAGCGTTTGATTGACCCTCTCAGTTCAACTGTCAGCTTGAGGACGATATGCCGTAAACAGACAAAGGTTGACTCCGAGAAGCTTGATCAATGAATGCCAGAACTTGCTTTCGAATCTGAAGTCCCGATCAGAAATGATTACTTCGGATAGTCCATGTAGTCGGCATATTTCTTGAAGGAATATATGCAAAAGTTCCTTGATTGTTGTCTCGGTCTTGAGCGGTATGAAGTAGGTGATTTTTGTAAAGCGTTCAACAATAACCCCGATACGGGTATAGGCTTCAGATTCTGGCAAACTAATGAAAAAGTCCATCGAGATGGAGCTGCAAGGAGTATTGGGGACCTCTAAATGTGGTAGTATCCTGTGCTTTTCATGACTGGAGCTTTTATTGCTTTGACATGTATCGCAACTCCATACGTATTCTCCCATATCATTGTCCATCTCTGGGCAAAAGAACAGTGCCCGAAGATGCTCTGCAGTTTTGAATTGACCCATGTGGCTTGTGGGCTTCGAATCATGTAGGTCGCTCATGATTTTTGGTTTGAGCTCTCGGAGATTTGGGATGTACCATCTTTTCTTCTAAAAGACATCACCGTGTCTCAAAGTTAGGTTTCCGTCTACTGTCGTACCGAAGGTGTGATCCACAGCCTCCTCCAAGGAGAATTACTCAGGGTCTGAAGCAGAATGAGGTCAGGTTTTGTCCAGAAGCACCGGTGTGAGTTTGCAGACCTGAAGTGATTTTGGGCGTTAAGATTTGATCGTAACAGTTGGTGGTTGTACAGAAACCATTCTGCTAGGGCAATTTAGGAGAGGATTCTGAGGTTGGGCGAGAACCGTAGCCGTACAATTCCCGATTCCGTTGATATACGTTGGCCAACATGAATAGAATCCATCAGCATCGTCAGGTATGTGGGTAAAAGGCAACATGATTGTGATATCTGGAGTGGAGGTAGTGGGTGGGGGCTGTTGAGTGTTAGCTCGGCTAACCTAGTGCTAGGGGTAGATAGGGTTAACTGGGATGACAGGCCAAATAAGGGTTACAGGCCAAATCAGGGTTAACTAGGGTTAGCTAGGGTTAACTAGGGTTACGGGCCGAACTAGGGTTAACTAGGGTTAACTAGGGTTAACTAGGGCTAGTTAGGGCTAGTTAGGGTTAGTTAGGGCTAGTTAGGGCTAGTTAGGGTTAGGGTTAGTTAGGGTTAGTTAGGGTTAGTTCTAGTAGTGGAATGTCGGACAGGATTTTCAGGTTGCCCGGGAACCGTCGCCCCACAATTCCGGGCTCCGTGGCTATGGGTCAAACAGGACCACCCGAGTCCATTCCCATCATCAGGTATGCGCGTACAGGGGGTCGTGGTCGTGATTGCGGGGGCGGAGGTGGTGGTTCGGGGCCGTTGAGTAGGGTAACTCACTGTGAGTCTTGGCGACCCGTCCTGGTTCACTCCCGGCACCGCCACTCACCGGGCGGTTACAACGATCGATGAGTGCATGGCACCGAACGCACCGTCTCGAGCCCACGATCATGACGGCGCACGAAATTCAATGATGCCGCGTTTCCCCATCCTCTGCTTCGATGGAATACATAAATTTCGGATTGCGAACTGCGGGTCACCGCATCGGGCGAATCCCACTTCTTGTCTCCGCTGTGTCTTCTTACGCCAACTCGGATTCTGACCTCCAGGTTACCGCCCGGTGTGTTTTGTAACACTAAATCGGATTTCAATCTCAAACAACGCTATGTGCAATACCTGCAACCCAATATGTGAGTGACGATCCATGACCGACATTCCATATTGTGTATTGTTGCAGTCTGGTTTTCTATCTCCCCTTGTTAGGGTTGGTCAAAATTACTAAGCAAATGGATTACTTCTCGTAACTTACTGGATTATATTTTTCCAACCCAAAAACTGAATTCTTTTGACACATGTTAGTTTTATCTGAGAGCTGCTAACCCGGAAACCCAAAGAAAATTTTCAAATATACTCATAAACTAAACTTTAATATATAACATTAACAACTTATAATCCTAACAAAATCAATAAAACCTTTTTGCAAACACGATCCTGTATGTCCGTAGACCACATAATATACAAAAATCTTATTCCAAATCTGTTTGCATATTAAGTTATTTTCACTCTGGTCCCTGAATTGTGAACTCTTATCCCCCCCAAACCCCTTGCGTAAGAAAGCAAAACAACTTTCGTGACAGTAGTAAAATACTTATAAGCTGGCATACCCAACCCCCCTTATGCTCCTCTACCCCACCGAGCACTGCAGGCAGGAAAAGAAGACTTTCACAGGTCTCCCCTACGCCCAACCGATCCGGGATATCCGTCATGTCCCAGCAAGGCTTCCTGAACTTCTGCTTTGTGAGAACCCTACCCACAGGAATTTTTGCCCACCCATCTTTCGCCGAAACACAACAGGCTCAATCAACTCAATCTACTATCATCGAACAAATCCAACTGAACAATGAACCATTCTTCATCTTCGCAGAACATGCCCCATACAATGAACAATACACACCCAAGTATGACTACATTTTAATCAAGGATTGTCCTCCAGGAATCAAACGCCAGAATGGACCTCAACTATATGTATTGGATAGTTAGCAACGTCCTCACAATCGCTATTGAACCAATCAAACAAAACACCAACCAGATCAACCGCGATAACACTGCCAATGAGACAGTAAAGGTTATCTAAGCGGTCAGCTGTTTGGAGGGAAGAGCCCTTGATCAGGTCAGACCACTTGTTAATGCCAATCCTGTTGACTTCTTTTCCTCTGTCACCTTCTTCGTCGACCAAATGGAAGCCTCATTTAGAGAACTAAACACTCGAAGTACCAACCACCGGCAACTTGTCCCCCTGAGGCAAGGCAAAGGAGACTTTGCCACCTACTACTTGCAGTTCATCAGAAATGTGTCCCACTTGCATTACAACAAAGGAGCCAAAATTGATGAATTGGCGGAAAGATAGTCGGACAGACCCAATATGGTGGAAGCATATGCGACCATGTCAATGACGATCGACAACGACATGTAACTGACGTACTATGATGACGCATAACCGTGACTTCCTTTCGAATAGTGTAAATAAAGAGAGTGAGTGTTGATGATACTCGTTCAGAAAGATCAAAATGCACTTTGTATGTTTGAACGTTCTCAAGTCTAGAAAATTATAACTTTAAGGGGTCTTCTCTCTATTAAAGATCCGTTGATGATGAGAGGCCAACCTGGGGTAACACCGAGCGGCTTATAGGAATACAGCATGGTTGCTCAAGTTCTTTTTCCGACTGACACTCTGCCTGTTGATAGTCGAGGGTACAGCAACTATTTTCTATCAGGGGAGAGGAGAGTAACTACGACACCTTGAATGAACTTCTGTCTGAGTCGAATCTCGCAATTTGCCAAAAGCTGTGGTCGGAATCTTAAAAACTATTGGAAACAGCCGACTAGTTAATAATTGGTTATTCTAACTTTATTAGAACAGATTTGAGTGTTTGTAAACCGAAGTTTTGCTTTAGTAGCTTGAGTCACACTCTCACTCCCCAAAGATGCTCCGGAGGAAAACAGGAGCATTCCGGCAGTTTGACACTGCGGAGGTTAGTGTTGGGGATTAAAACGTGTTTTTGGAATTAGATTTTCCATTAGCTCCGGGACACCGCCAGAATCATGTCTGTCGTGCTAAAGCATGGTCTTTGAGTATCAATTGCAGAGATATGAAACCTCAAAGATTCGACTACCTAGGTAGGGAACTCCCGTCCTGGGTTCCCTGTGCTATCAGCCATCTTTGTACTTCTGTTCCAAGCTTGCTCAGCCCCCTATTTTTGACTTGTAAGACTTCTTACTCATTGAGATCCCTGTCCTCTATACGAATAAAGGTACGAGCCCAACTGCTCTTGTCTTCACACGTCGATGAAGAACAAACTGCTGTTACTTAAGGTCGGTGGCTTAACTGATGGAATAGGTTCTTTTGTAACAGCCTGATAGTGGCACTGTTACATTACTCCCCTCTATTGTAGACTCGTTTTGAGTCCACTGTAGTGTTACTGTAATATTAGTATTTGGCATAGAAAAAAAACTGTAGCTCTAGTGGTGATTACGTACAAACTCCATCTCTGTTTCTATCTCCATCAGAGAAGGAAAACTCTAACATGAAATGCCTTTTAAAAACAAAGAAAATGACATATCCTCCACTCTTGTCGTAGAACCTTCCGTTCCACTAGTGGAGATTTCGATGTTAGCAAGAATCTCTTTTTTTCCCTCGTCTTTTTTACGCGGGTTTCCTCACGCTTCGGTTTTCTATCGTTTCTTGTATTGTTTTCAGGGAAAAATGGTATCCGAACTTTGTCAGACCGATGAAAAACCTGGTACAGGAGAGTTGATTTTTGTTCCCGGATTTCTTCTGAGATAGAGAGCTACTCACGCCGTGTTTTGAGGATCCCTAAAGTTTCACCGTATTTTCCGAGGTTTTTGCGGATATTTTTGATGAAATACTTTCAGGGCCTCATCAGCTCTTCCTTGCAGAATTTCATGTGGTTCCCAGGAGTCTTCTGAACGATAACCCTCCCAAATAATACGATACTCTACAAACATTTTCTAATGCCCAGCCTGTTGCCATCGGCTATTAGCTATTTCTTGGGGAACGTGACTGTATTCTCCTTTGACCTCATCTGGAGCAGGAGGGACTTCAGTGCCTTTAGGGTATTTCAGTCCCCGATAGGACTCCAGCAGAAATATTTGGAAGTCATCATGAATGTTCCATTG